AAACAAAAAAACCCAAAAATTTTTTAACAAAAAAAAAAACCCAAAAATAAAAAAAAAAAAAAAAAATACAAACCACAACATTAAAAGGGTTTTAAAACAAAAAAAAAAAACCACGACTTTTTCCCCCCCCGGGGTTTTTACAATCGAACAGGGGAAACTTCCCAAAATCCCAATAACAAAAAATTTTTTTATTTTGGGGTTTTGTGGTTTTTGGGGACTGAAATACAATCTACCACATTATTCCCTTAAAAAATTTTTGTCTCCCCTGAAAACTTTTAATAAAAAAAGAAGGGGGCCATTTTCCTTAGGGTCCGGTCTTTCCTTTAATTATAAATGTTACTTTGTACTTTTAAGAAAGTTCAAAAAGCTTTCCGTTAACCCTTTAGAAAACCCAAACCCCGGGGTTGCCTTCAGTATTTAATGTGGAAGCATATACTATCAAGAGCACTGATCTCAAGAGATGAGAAAAGAGCTACAGGATTCAAACCAGCAAAAAACTGATTAACTCTTCTAGGCTGTTATGCAGCTTGAAATTTAAAGTTCAGGCTACTTCTAGTTTGTAACTGAGATAACCCAACATTGAAAAAGACACTTTTTGCCATGTTGTTGAAAAATATTGTGCTGACAGAGAACCTTGCTCTTAAAACACTGCTAATTATTGACACAGCAATTATGCACCCAGTAACCTTAATATGAGCTGCCAAACACATCAAGCTGCAGTTTCTAAGATCACCATTGCCATGATTCAATCAGTGGATCAGTGTTATTAAATCTTTGAACACATTTATATCAAAACACTTTTGCAAAACTTGTTGTTGATACTGAGGGAGAAAAATGAACCAACAATAAAGGCATTACAGAAGAAATTTAATACTATGAATGCCATCAGCAGCATTGATGAAGCTGCTGGTTGAAAACGAGGAAATACAAAGAGACACTCGACTTGACAGTTCTACCCCTCAAGGGGGTTCCCTGATGCTAGTGAGGGGCTCTTGATCTAGGGAATTGGATCTGTGCTCCAGTTCCCTGAATTGAACCTGAATACCTTCCATCCCCTCCACCACAGGTGCTGTATAATTCCTATGGGTTTAGTGCTTCCTCATAATAATACTGTGGCAGTTCTTGCTGAAGGAAATAAACTTTTTGAAAACAGAACACTAAGACCTTCAACCAAAATAACAGTCGCACAAATTCCTTGGATATTGTAGTGAGCAATGTACTGCAATGCTTCAGGAATGTTTCAATATGAACATCAAGACAAACAACCAACAACTGAAAGTTTATTTAGGAATGCTAGTCCCTCTGCATCCAGTACATGATAGTCAACATCCAGGACATCTTCCTTTGATAGAGAGTGGCCCTCAACGTCCAGGCCATGTTTAGTTTATACAGAGGAGCATCATGGAACAGAAGCTCAAGTTTGGCCTATGTCCTCCAGCACCAGTCTCTCCGGTTACTTTGATGAGGAAGTCAATGATCCTTCCCCTTCCTCTCCTTTCTACTAATTCATTCATTAGCTCTTTTGCTCTCATTTTCTTAAATCTTACCAAAGTCCTTTTCTTCCACTTCCTTAACTCCTCTCCTGCACCAATATATGCTGATAGTGGCTTTGGTGAATACCACTGTTCTTTTAGTTACAACAACAATAGACCCATCTTAGTTACAACAATAGGCCCATCTTAGTTACAACAATAGGCCCATCTTAGTTACAACAATAGACCCATCTTAGTTACAGCAATAGACCCATCTTAGGTGAGTACACTAAGTATTTTTTAAATTCCTTATTTCTACAGAACTTTTCCAGTGTTTAAGTTGAATTATGTTATCGTCTTGGTCTGTATCTCCATTTATAACATGGCTCTTATGGGAAAATTAGATTCACTTAACCTAAACATCTGAAGTATGGAAAATTATTGTCCAGATCTGTTTTCATCTATAACATGGGCTCATATTAGAAGATTAGATTTCCTTATTACAATTTCTGCTTAACAAACCATTCTTATGGTCCCTGTCTTGGTCATTAAGTTAAGGGTCACTGTACTTAGGAAAGTACATCTATATTCATTGATTTTTTGTGGAACTGTAGTGTCCTTTATATTTTATTGGATTATAGAAAAAGAGCTTAGCACACTACAGCATTAACATACCTAGAAGTGAAATTGGCCCTAAAACCTGTCCTGTTCCCTGATATCATTGCTGAGAATATACCCAAAGTCATTCCTCTGGTGATGCAGCATTAGAGCAGCTATAACTAGTACCACCACTATTAGAACCAAAATTTCCCATCCTGAGAGTGGTGATGCAGGTGTGTTATTTTTTTGTAGGGGTTATCAAACAATATAAATTGGTGAATTATGAAACTTGAGAAGAATTTGGAAATATGGATTAGAGAAAACGTATATGCTTGTATCACTGATAAGCCCAATAATGCAGGCATGATTTGTGGCAGCTTTCACAGTCATCTCATGAACTTTAATGATGCAAGATTAGTCTTCAGACAAACAGATCTGTATAGGATGAAGTATATAGATGCCTCTCTCATTGCTGTTTGACACAACTGAACAAAAAAGCAGCAGCTTTAACATGTCTAAGGTATTATCAAGAATTGTCCTGTGACCTTACAGCAGTCATCACTTAATTGTTATTTACCAGTTGTTTAGTTTTAATTCTTATTCTTTCTTGTGTAACTCTATTCTTAAGTCTGTTGTTACCTTTGTGCTACCTCTGTTGTTACCTTTGTACCTCATCTGTCCACTATATACATGCTCTCACACTTCAGTTTTGTACATGAAAGCTTGACAAAGTTCCTAGTGAGAGAGATGTAGCTTGCATTAAAGTATGGTACAGTAGGGCCCCACTTTAAGGTGTTTCACCTTACAGCATTCTGCTAATATGGACATTTCAAATTATGACCATAACTCGCTATATGGCTCTCCCCACCTCACTTTCTGATAGTCACCATGTGCCACCCGGTTTGTTTACATTCTCTGTGAGCCCATCCCTCCATTGTGTCTGGAAACATTTCAAAATTTCAAGCATTTTAAAGTTATTGCATATTTTATATGTACAGTACTCTGATAATTATACTGATGTGTACCTACACTGTTAGCCTAATACGTATATGTAAGTGTATACTTACTTATCTGGCATATAAATGGGGCCCTACTGTATCCAAACACACTGTCCATTTACCTAATTGATTATCAGTACTACTTGTATTTTCATATATATCATGCTCTCGCCAGAATGCATATTGTATTTTAAAAGTTCCAATAGAAGTCTTTGCTTTTCTGAATTAAAATATTTTGACAAGTACCTAATTACTATTTTGCATTTTTAAAGTACTCTATGTGCATGTACTTCTGTCATGTGTATTCACATTTGTATGGTATATTTGTACAGACAATATTATGGCATAAAATGTAGACTTTTTTGATGAAAGAACATGTAGAAAGGAGTACTTTGTAAATAACCAAACTGTAATAACAAAACTCATAAATTTATCACTTTGATTGATCAGTTATTTGGGACAAAATACAACCCTTATGGGTTTAGCACTCAGTTATGATTATAATAAAATTGGGACAAAATATAGTAGTAGTACTGCCATTCATACCAATTACTGTCTAGTACTAAAATATTGCATTTAGTATTCTAAAGGTAATGAAGTTGTGCTATTACACACGCTATGTTCAACTGGAACAACAGCAATAAAAAATTAATTAAAATGCCAGACCTACCCCCACCTATCTTTTGACGTTACAAGTTTTTCCAAAAGCAAGTCTAATTAATAATTTCAAAGACGTGCGGAGGCTGAGCATACCACTGCATTGTACTATAGTGCAAGTACTGCATGAAAATCTCAAATTTCTCATCAAGGCTTAATGGTGAATTTAAAAAATAATGAAAACAAAATACTCAAGTTAGGGCATGAGCTTTAAGCTTAATATCAATTCAGGAAGGCTTAAATCATACCCGAGTAACTATGTACTGGAGAATACCACTGTATATTGGATTATCTTTGAAGGCAAGACTTGTTAAAAACTGGATATCGTTTAGGCATGTTCTTGGTGAGGCTAGATTATAATGAGAGGGAAAGGACATTATTGATCTTTAAATTTGGGAGGACTTGGTTGGGCCATCTTGAAATTTGACTCAGGATAGTATGTCAACCCATGTAGATTCTGCCTAACCCAACAAAATAAATATCTGATATCATTACTTAATAGTGTACATACAACCCGAGAGCAATTCAACTAACGAAATATGCTCATCTTGAAGAGCCCGAATCATCTATGTCTTTATTTATTGTTGGTGATATTATCAGTTTGTTTTGTAGTGGCTACCACAAAATATATATAGAATGCCATTTAGCAAGGGTCTGATTGGGACGGTTAATGGGGAGGAAACCCCCAAATGTGCAAAATATTTATTTAGATTTTACTTGATGATCATATCGTTGCTTGTAGCCTTAAATAAAAGAGGAATTAATTATTAATCTTCTTTTTAGGCTACAGATCTCTTATTTAACTGGTATTTACAGGTAACCAGTCATCTTGCAAAACAAGGGTTTACTTCCAGACTCCAGCCTTGGAGACAAACTAGCTAGGGAGAAGTCAGCTGAGAAGACCATAGCTAAGGGGCAGTCTCTATATTTCAAGTAAGTCTGTTCCACTTTTGTGGACAAGCGATGCTAGCCTTGTCGGTCCTTTGTGCATTTATTATCAAGAAGAGAAATGTACAGATTTGTGAGGGTAAAATTCTCAACTCATTTTGCAAAAGCAGTAACCACTCGCATCAAAAAAACCCTTAAAGGTTTCCATATATTGTAAAGCCATAGCACTAGTAGTGGAGGAAGGATCATGATGTTGATAAAATTATGCTAAACCTTATGGGTCATTCAGCACTGAATGGATGTACTTTAATTGACAAGTAAAGTAAACAAATCTACATATGCAAATGTTTGATAATACACTTTTAGGCGGTGAATGAAAGTACAGTTGATCCTATGTAATAATGTATTTGCTCACACCTGGGTATCAACATTGATAAAGTTTGTGTAAGCGGCACTTAAATACATGACTTGCCAGAAGAGTTGTACATACATGTATGTGTAACTTAAATACAAAAGTACACAAAAACTTCACCCATAAAGTATTACATCTCAAAAGGCATTTCAAAAGAAGTTAATGAAATAATGGAAAATACCATTCAGGTTGTAAATTAATTACCATGAAACCATACTGTAGTTTCCTTAATCTTTTACACTGATTGGACATGAATAATAATAAACAAAATTACAAACAGCCTTACACTATCATTAGATGGGCTAATGTGGCCACTACATATGGCCAGTGCTGTAACAATATTCCCTCAAATTAATAACTACTTCAGTGGAATGTATAAGTATGGCATTATTTAAACTTTTGCAAGAACCCCTCTACTATCAAAGGAAAAAATCATATCTACCAATATATATATTTATTCATACTTTATACAGTTCTGTTGACTTGAAATTAAAAAGCTCTACTAGGTTCTGCAAAGTTTATATGTATTTTCTTTTCTGATTCAGATTAGTTATAACTGCCCCATTATAAATCAGCAATCCTATGAGACAAGTCACAATAATGGGTGAACATACTGATGCTGGTACTGTAACTATGGCAATTGTTGTAATATGACCAGCAACTATAATCCATAAGATTATAAGTAAATTTCTGTAAAGTATAGCAAAAGTAAAGAAAATTGTTTAACAAGCAACATTTACTCAATCAAAAAATAATATAGTGCCATAACAACAGTAAAAATCCTTGTAATCTATTTTCAGTTTAAAATTACCAAAAAAATCAAGAAAATGTGTCTTCAACATGCAGGTAACTTTTGCTACCTTGGTGGTTTGAGTAAGATTACAAATAAGTGCCAGTCTGGAAAAATGGGTCATAGTTGCTGGTGGAGTTACACGTGTTGTGACTGTGCTGTATGGACTACCCCTACAGTGACCCAGCTTCCACAGTTGAGGATTTTCATTCAAGGTTGTCTAAACATACTATAATATCTTCCTATATTGTCAAACTGTGTATCCAACTGTTCTTTATTTTTTAGTATTCCGTATTGTATTAAAAACTCATTAGACAAAAACTAAGGGTGAATGAGGATACTACAGTGATCTGCTGAGACATTCCCTTGATTGTTCTCCAAAGAATCCTAATTTTGTGTCATATGGCCATTGTGGGGTCAATTCAGGAGGCTCAGGTGAATGGCCAAGAAAAACACTATCAATACATTGGTTCCATTTTGCACCTGAGACTCTTTCATGCAGGTGTTATTTGCAATGGGCACAAGGAAATGTGGTACTGTATTAGTGTGTATGCTATCATTGGGAGCTACAAGCCAAAAAAAAAAAAATCAGATAGGGAAAACTTACATCCCTTATCTGTGCAATCTAATTTCTATAATGTTATTAATGGCTGTTGTCATAAACCCATGAATTTTTGAGTATTACAAGCCATCTAAGATCCTTGTGCTCATTGATGTTAATCCCTAATATGTAAAGTTTTCTCCAGTCAAGCTCCACTCGTAAGTACAATATGTTAACGACTAGTTACTTGGCTATATGCGGTAACAAGAGAACATTCACTCACAGTCAACAAGATTAGAAGTAGCCTACAAGAATTCAGCTGAAGAGTTAGTCAGTGTTAGAACAAAGCTGAGAGAATCTGGGGATGAATAAAAGGCTTAACCCACAGATATGAGTAAAATATAAAATTAAAACACTGAATATAGGGAGAAAAGCTCACTAGATTTGTAAATCATATTTAGCCAATTTTTATGGTAGTTAAATTGTAAAACTAATTTACCAGTTGGGTTTCAGTTACATAACAAATATGACTTTTAGCACTTTTCAGCATGTACATCAAGTTCAGTTAAATATATATATATATGTATACAGTATTGACATTATAAAATCTTCAATGACAATACTGTGAAAGGGCTAAAATTATTGTTTACTGTACTTCAGACCTAAAATGGTTAAGTCAACATATTATATATAGCTTTTTCCATGACAGGAAATATTAATGCAGATAGAGGGGGATGGGGGAAACAGTTGCACTAGGCCACAGAAAATACATTCACAATGTACATCAATGTGTTAGTGGTTAGCAAAACTTCTATGCAAGCAGAGGCACAACTTTATCCCCTGCTAATGATCTCTTCCTTGGGAACACTGTGAAGCTTAGGCTGCAGTCATAAGGTAAGAATTCCCCAAAAATTCTTATGTCCACTTAGAAGTTACAATTGAAGTTGACATGCCAAACGAGAGCATAGGAGTAAGTTCTTAGGATATTCTTACATTTACAAACTCATCATTAGTGAGTACGTGCAAAAGATTTGTGACAAGTTAGTCTACACACAACCAGCCATTCTGGGCCCTGCTGACCGTGCGTACACCAAATCACGCGCATACACCAAACCACACACTTACTACTTGGGCTTGGAGTAATCCCTTTGCAATGGACTACACTATTTCCATGTTCTACTTGTGTACAGTATTTCCTTTTCATTCACATCTACTATATATATCACTTATGACACATTAGATGTCAATCTGCAGGTAAGTGGAGGGTGTCTAAACAGGAACTCAACAAGGTCAGAAAGATGATGGAAGTACCAGCGCAGGGATTAGACATATGGGTCCATTGAAAGTGAAGAAATGTAGGTGGCATACTGGATCTACTTGGCACATGGCAGTATGGAGGGACACTTTTATAGAGATCTTAGAAAAATGCAGTCTTGATCGCTCTACACCATCTTTGTAATTTAACAAGATAGAAGTGAATGAAAAGCCTGCTATTTCCATTTTTTCTCATCAGAAATGTATAATGTCAACTCTCCATGTACACCATCACAGCTGCCATGTTATATATTGGGCAGTTTACCAAGTAGACTAAATGGCACTTCAGTCCTTAGGGAGAAAACTGCAGCTCTCACTCATTCCGCATGGTACCTCCCAACTTGTCCATGCTGCTATTCTCATCCTCCAAATCAGCCTCTAGAAGAATTCCTTCTTCCAAATCAATTCCTTCCTCCAAATCAATTCCATCCTCCAAGTCAGCTTCCTCTTCATGTGAAGGGGATAGATCTGGGGGGAATTGGAGGCGTCGAAGGGCATCCATAGGGGACATGGGTGTGGCAGGTGTGGGAGGTATCTGCATCATGAGAGCTGGGGTGGTTGGGGAGCGATGAAGATTATATGAGTGGGGAGATTCACATGTGGGAGAGACCAGTGCCTGCACCTGTCGTGAGGAAAAGGGACACCCTGACACAGTTGGGGAAGGGGTGCCTCCTCCAGGACTGGTCAGGTGGCGGTGTGGGATGACCTCACGCTCTGCAGGTTGGGCCCAGAAGTCCTGAGAGGTTAGTTACTGTTAGTAATGGGTTATGAATTAATGGAGGCTTTAAGTGAAGTTAACCTCATTAATCTTAAAACGGTACCATTGCCAAGACTGCAATGTGATGGACTGGTGTAAAACAGTAAAATAAGTTAGAAAACAAAATGGTGCAGAGAGGAGAAAAAATATATATAAATAAATATAAAATATTATTTATTTATATTTATTAAAGCTGTAGAAATTGGTGGGCAAATAGTTTCATATGTGTGTATTGGGATTAATCACTGGTGGAAGTAGGTGTAAAAAATGCAAATTATTTAAGGATATAACTAATTTAAGAGGTAACAGAATGAGAAGGAAAGGGGGGCCAGTGTCATCACAAATTTGGAGAGGGAGCAGGAAGGCAGATACAAGGGTAAAGGCAAAGTGAAAAAGCAAGCACTACTGATGGGAGTCGAGTGAATCAATTAGTGAGTGTAGATGAGAGGAGAAATGAGTATGTCAGGATGCAGTGTGTCCACACAGGTGCATGTGAACTAGTAGAATGAATTTTGCTATGCAAATGTGTCTGTATAAATACTGTACATTAATTCAGGAAATTATACAGAAGGTCCCCAAGTTACAAATGTTTAGTTGCAATGATCTGAATTTATGAACAGGGCACTTTGAATGCTGACTTGTAGATTTTTCAAGAGTTTTTCTTGTCAAATACTTGTATACTTTTTTTTTTATGCATGTTTAGTGGGCTCAAGAGTCAAGAACCACACATTCATCAGTTATGATTTTAAGCTGAGTGAGTGGAGGCAGTCCTGTCTTGGATTTATCTAAGGCTGATGTTCCTGCAAACAACACAACAGGCCTGAGCATGCACTTCAACTCACCACAACTGTCTGCCCCCACATAACCACCCAGCTACCACCCTTCCCAACACTTTCTTCCACACCACACCCAGGTATGTGCTACCCCTCACTTACATCCTCCTTCCCAAATCACATATCCAGGCACTTACTGTTATGGGATTATCAGAAATGTTCTGGCTAGAGGAATTGGTCTGGTTACTTATATATGGTAATGCTTGTTGTAGAGTTATAGTACAATGTTGGGGCATGTCTGGTTACAAGTCTGGCATGAGGCCTGATCAATCTAATGCTGGGAGCTAGGGTGCTATGAAGAGCCTTCCACCATGGCTAGGTAATGTTATGTTTATGTATGAACATTGAATAATAATACATCACATGTATATACATTCAGCACTTATAATCACTTATATTTTATTATGTTTATATTTAGAGCACTATTATCATTATTTACTAATATAAATAGGATAAAGTAAATAAGATTGTATTAAAATACTACATTTATACTGTAGTTTGTGTAATATACAAGGCAATGCTGCTTTTGTTTTACTGGGAGCTTGTAGGTTCTCCCTTCTTTTCTGAATGACCAACCATGTGAATATTCCCCTCAGCACTTCTGGGTAACTTCAAGTTTCTAACCCTGGAGTTAATTTTCGTTCAAGTCATGGTGATAATTATATGTATAGGGTACTAGTTGCTGCAGTGTGTCAAAACAGTGCTTTAAGGCAAGTGAGAATTTAAGGATAATTATGACTAATATGAAGTAGCCATGTAGTGGTGCAAGCCGACTTCAGGCTAGCTGATTATAAGGATAGCCTTTGTGATATTTAATATTCTACTTGATATAGATGAATGTTTTTAAGCTATGAGAAATAACAAGGCCCAATTATATCTTGTGTTCATGTGTATATAAAGTAGTCTTCATTAATATAGTATTTTTTTTTTATTTCAATGCACTGACCATCTCCCACCTAGGCAGGGTGACCCAAAAAGAAAAACAAAAGTTTTTCTTTTTACATGTAGTAATTTATATTGCTGTTTTTATGGAGACCTTCATTGTACTGACCTAACTAATGAATGTATGCTAGGGCCAGGTGTAGTGCCAGAATTTTTATGCTAGGTAGGCTTAGGGATGGCTATCGGATTAGGAGGGAGGAGTCCCAGGAGACTTGTTTTGAATCAGCATTATTATTATTACTATTTTTGTTTGGTGGCTGAGGGATTTTTTGGGGGCTGAAGGCCCCAGAGCCCCTCCTTGGTGGCACCTCAGGCTGAGCTTAGCATAGCCACAAAATCTTGCTCTGGGCAGGTATTTTATTAATAGCCCTAGATAGTTATCTTTGTGTTAAACCAGTAGAGGTGAAGCACCCACATGTTATTGTCACTTTAACCACCACACACACTAACACTTCAGTGATAAAAAGTGGTCATACAGTGGGAGGGAGGAAAAATGGGAAGAGATTACAAGTTTTTAATTGAATTTTTTAAAAGTTAAATATAATTAAACAAAATATTGTCCACATTGCAATTTCTGATCATGGGTTCTATGAAAATATAGGTTCTTATAGCTGAATGCAAATTACAAATGGTGTTCAAGACTACATGTTGTGTAAGTTGAGGACCTCCTGTATATATGTGCATTAATTTTGCATTAATTTGTATATCTTTTCCATTTTGTTTACGAATAAATTACCATGTAATAAAAAAAGACAAATATAGATATCAGATATCTGTAATGAGAGAGAATGGTTCATTAACTGAATTTAGCAATAAGTGTAATTTGATAAGCTAGAATGCATTGCTGTATTTTCTTCAATAATTTTTGTAAGGGCATATTACATTTTTTAAATTAGAAATTTTCTCTCCAAAAAGTTTACAAAAATCTAACTATTTTTTGTCATCTTGCATTAAAATTATTTATTCAGAGTAACCTCTCCACAATATTTATTCAGGGTAACTTGTCCATATCAAACTGTTTTAACCTATCTTTTATACAACCTCAGTAATAAAATTATTCACTTTCATAACGGCAAAAATAACAGTGAAAGAGTTCACTAGGTAATGATATGCATATGAACTGAAATACTGTGTTTGTGTGTTATACAGTTTAACCATTTTGAAAGGGAACTGAATTCCCAAGCAACTTTGTCAAGGAGAGTTGTACATCACACATGGAGCTAATATGACAAAATAAAGTGGATATCATTATTATTTAGCCAAAATTTAGGTCAATAATGACATGTCAGGTTGGGTAATTTCATTTAATATAGTTAAAATTCTCCCAAACTTTGTTAGTTAAGAACTTATAAAGTACTAGACTTTTGTTCAGACTCCATCAGCACTACATTTTTTATACAGCTTGACTTTTATATAATTTGTTTAATAACTAACTTGCATATTACAATTTTTTTTCATCAGCAGGATTAAATTCTCCTGCATGAAAAAACAGAACATTTGACTCCTTACAAATTGTTATATTTGTGTTATCTTAAATTTAGGATTTAGTCAGTCTAGCATGCATAAAATCTTTCATTTTGTACATAGGATCTTAGACACGCCAACATTGTTGGGGGAATTCTTCATTAAGAAGTTATAATGACATCTGGATTTTTAAATGCAATATTGATATGGTAGTACCAACATAATTTTGGTCAAGTATGATTCATTGTCTTTTCCTTATCTATGAACTCTGAGCTATTAACATGCAGTGCTCTCAAGAACATGGAAAAAGACATTGAATATTTAACTGTCATGATATGATGAATAATAATGTATATAGGAACAGACATTGGTTGGTTTTGTATATCTGAATACCTGGTTCTCTTTGATAATTAAAACATCCAGAAATGTAAATTAGATAATTTGTTCAAATTAGTAAATATTATCAGTGGAGCTAGATGATTTAACCCAGGTAGAAACTTACTTAAATTTGTATTCTTGGGTCATATGCATAAGGTATCATCTACATACTGTATCTATACCATTTTGTATTATGGAGAAAATTTTTATTTAATACTGTAATTTGGTTTAAAAAAAATCCATGTAGTCTTAAATTATTGACTAGGGAAGGGGGATATCCTATTGACGTACCAAAATTTTGGGTGTAGAATTCATCCTTAACTACAGAGTTTCATAAGATACATATTTGTTATTAAGATCATCATGGATTCTTAATATGTTATAACAATCTGACATTGTTTCTATGCTAGTAATAGCTTGATAAACCATACCACAGGCGGGATTTGAACCCGCGGTCAGAGTGTCTCAAAACTCCAGACCGTCGCGTTAGCCACTTGACCAGCTAGCCACAATAAGATTCGTCCAACTAGGTATATTTCTACACCATAGGAAGGTTAGCATAGGCACCACTGTGACCACAAATGCAAGTTTTTACAGACAAATCTCCAGCTAGTGTGGCCGTGACGAACTCTAGCTCAAGTCCCCTCACTGCCGTCAACATGACTCACGAAATCGTAATGACACGATTGCAAACAAATCATACCACGGGCAGGATTTGAACCCGCGGTCAGAGAGTCTCAAAACTCCAGACCGTCGTGTTAGCCACTGGACCAGCTAGCCACAATAAGATTCGTCCAACTAGGTATATTTCTACACCATAGGAAGGTTAGCATAGGCACACTGTGACCACAAATGCAAGTTTTTACAGACGAATCTCCAGCTAGCGTGGCCGTGACGAACTCTAGCTCAAGTCCCCTCACTGCCGTCAACATGACTCACAAAATTGTAGAGTTCGTCACGGCCACGCTAGCTGGAGATTCGTCTGTAAAAGCTTGCATTTGTGGTCACAGTGGTGCCTATGCTAACCTTCCTATGGTGTAGAAATATACCTAGTTGGACGAATCTTATTGTGGCTAGCTGGTCCAGTGGCTAACGCGACGGTCTGGAGTTTTGAGACTCTCTGACCGCGGGTTCAAATCCCGCCCATGGTATGGTTTGTTTGCAATCGTGTCATTACGATTTCGTGAGTCATGTTGACGGCAGTGAGGGGACTAGAGCTAGAGTTTGTCACGGCCACGCTAGCTGGAGATTCGTCTGTAAAAGCTTGCATTTGTGGTCACAGTGGTGCCTATGCTAACCTTCCTATGGTGTAGAAATATACCTAGTTAGACGAATTTTATTGTGGCTAGCTGGTCCAGTGGC